ATGCACTTTCCACTGTGGTACTCTGCCTGTATAGATTTATGTGTGAACCATGCAGGAGCTCTTGTGACCTTCTTTTCCTTGCCCAGGGATCACGAGGCTGTGGTGCTGAGCTTTGTCTTTGCCATCTTCTCCTGCTTCAGTTCTAGCTCTCCCTCCCATTAAATACTTCATAAGGCACACAGAAAAGCCCAAAGGAAGACAGAATTGAAGCTCTTCTGGCACTGCAGTTTTTTGGACCTTGAGCAAACGCACTACAGGGACACAAATAGCCACCTCTAACGCAAAAAACAGTGGAAGCAGTTTTTTTCTTTGCCAGAGGCCTTTAAAGATGCTTATTTAAATTTAAATTTATAAAATCCAAATGGCAGCCATGCACATGTTAATTGTGTGCAAATGGGTATGCTTAGGTGCAGTTGTAGACTCAAGTGCGCATATGTGCATCTCTTGAGTATCTGGAGATGGGCTCTGTCTGCTGCTGCGGCTGCTGCTCCCACTTCCTTGTGTAGTCTCATTGCAGGAGCAACCATAGATGCAGCTGCCAGGGAGGAATAGGAAGAAAAGGCCTAACCAGTTGCTGCCTTAAAACCATCAGACGCTGAATTGTGTGAAGGCAGCCACATTACCGGCCTCACTGCTGAGACATGCATGGTAAAAGGTAGGCTGGAGAAGGTCAGCAGTTTTTATATCAGCATTTTTTCCCCTCTTTTCTCAAGGATAGGAGCAAAGCACCTTACTCTAGACAAAAAGAAGTTCTATGTATAGAGGAAACTGAAGCATATTCATCTGGAGAAGGATTAATAAAACTACAAATATCCACTAGAATTCTTACATAATACTGAAAAATATTACAAAACCAAGGATATAATTTGGGGGATGGGTATTAAGATTTAAAAAGGGTTAAGAAAGCTATTAATCAAAATTACAATTGCAAAACAGAATTTACACTTACCTAGACTTTCCTTCCCAAGCTTTCTATTAGGAGCCTCCTGCAGAAAAACATATTCAGTTTCCATCTGTTTTAACTTGCAAACACTTATCTACAGTATGCTAAATTGGGGACTCCAATCCTTTAATGATCCTTGTTACAATAGTGACTGCCATTAATATATTTAATATTAGAGACAGTAAGCAAAAAAGAGACATAAAATAAAATGATGAAATTGAAAATAAAATCTATATTAACTGAACACAATGGTCAAATTATTGTGCAAAGTATCCCTGATATCCCTTACATGGAATAATATAATTGTGGTAAGTTGTTAATGTTACATGAACCAATAAGTGGGAAATAAGATAAAAGTTCTATTAATTTAGCTGAAATATATAGCTGTTAAAGAATTGGGAAAGATTGGGAAGGGGGAAGACAAAGTAGAGCTGCAAAAGAAATTGCAAGTGTAACCTTTCCTTGTAGGCAAAGACATGAAGTTAAACAAATTCTTAATTAAGAACTGGAGATTGAAAAAAAACAATGCTCTAGATACATGCATGCCAGCCAAACATGGAAAACATTTAAGATTCCTCCCCCACACACACACACACTTCCCAAGAGGGGGACAGAACCTGAAGCTGATTTGGTCTGAAAGAGAGTAACTGACCCAAGATCAACCAGGTGGTTTCTGTGCCTAAAGGACTAGTAGAACCTGGGTCCCCATGCTCCTAGTCCAACATCCTAACCGCTGCACCATGCAACAGGTAAATCAAAATGGTTTATAATATAAACCAGTATCACAATAAAAGAAGATAATAATCAAGATCACTCCTGATCCAATATAATAATCTTTTGCAATTTCAATCACATATAAATTAGCCCAATGAGAGTGGAATTCCAGCAACACTGTTTCATCCTGAAGGATCTTATCAGCTTTCAATAAGTCAATTGCAGACATATCCACAGACTCCCCACAGTCTTCTCATTTAGAGATTCTATTTTCAGCTGGAGGTAATCTAGCACTCAGTGTTTATAGTGTCTTTAATCACTTTTATGTCATCTCCAAAAGAGTGGCCATCACATTTTTTTTCACTAGCTGCTGCACTCTTGCCTTGAAGCATAGCCATTGGTGAGAAGGGCACTCAGCCCGCGGAAGGCTAGTCTACCTCATGTTCATCAGCTCTCCGATCAAACTTCAAACATGTAGCAAGTATCACAAAGCTTTCTGGGGCAAGGGAGGGAAGAATTCCCAAAAGAAAAGGTAAATTGTTTGTAATTCATGTGCCTGAAGCTACCACCAGAGTTCCTCACTGAAAGTAATTGTCTGCACATTCTTCACTCTGTGTCATGGCATGCTGCTTACAGAGCAATTAGCAAACTTGCTGACTGCAGCAAGCTCACTGGCAAGGCTAAAAATTAATATTATTTATATAGTACCATCAGTGGACATGACACTTTGTAGAACAATAACAACTACAAAACAATATTCGGTTACACCCCTGAGTAGTCAGGCTGGTGGGAAGTGATCGGAGTTGTAAAATGAGACATCTAAAAGATGGCCATGAAAGAAGCCAAATGAGAGGATTGATGCAGAAGGTGGGAAAGATTAAGAAGAAGCCCAAAGAAAAGGATCCAGAGATGTAGGGTTTGAGGGAGCAATTAGGGCGAGGGGAGGTGGAGAGAACACCAGGAGTTTTGATACAAATAGAATAAAGTAGTGTCTGAACTGGTCCCTCTTTCTTTCACCACCAGCATTCTTGCCCAACCTAATATTTAGGGGAAGATTCTTTCAAACAATATTAAATATGAAAGTAACATGTTGCCAGCATCTTTTTTTTTTTTTATTCCCTTTAAGTCAGTATTGACCCCTGCCAACTGCCAGGACAAGTCTCCGCAGTTTTCTTGGCAATGTTTTTGGAAGTGGTTTGCCATTGCCTCCTTCCTTTGGCTGAGAGAGTGTGACTGGCCCAAAATTCTTCACTCAAAAATATGTTCACCTGCTGAGAAAAAAAATAAAAGTAGACAAGGTAGTAGAGAGGATCCTATAGGTTAGAAGCAGTAACAGAGAGCAACTTTCTGGTAAATGGGTGTTTACTGCCTCATCACAGCTACCGTAGTAGATATTCTAAGAATGGGGCAAGGTACTCCCATGGAATCTATTACACATGAGCACCCACAAAAAGCTTTCGGAATTTCAAATGTGCCCATTGGCCCAAACAGTTGTCTAGGATTAGAAGAAAAAAAATGGTAACAAGAAGAATGTAGCTGGAGAGCCAGGAATTATGCTCTCTCGCTCGCTCGCTCGCTCTCTCTCTCTCACACACACACACACACTGGTGGGGCATTTTTCAATTACAGGAATCATCACAGCCAAGTTAAATACTACACACCAGTTCCTGAGCAGCAGAAAACTATACCAGGATAAACTTTACTTCTCCTACTTGTGATTCCTAACAAATGGTGCTTTCCTTGTTGCACTGTACAAGGCACATTAAGGATAGGGATTGGATTCCCTTGGCTTTTTATCCCTTCCTTCCCACTACACATCACCAGCCAGTGAGAAAGCATGCACCAATCACTCTTCCTATGGTGGGCTGGGGCTGGAGGTGGGGAGGAGGAGCAGGTGGCAGTCATGGCCAGGAGGGCCTTTGCCCACCTCCATGTGGCATGCCGGTTACTCCCCTT